TCATTACATTACATATATTATATATTCTTCTGCAACAAAAACATCACAACTTTGTAGGAAGAAAGAAATCAGATATTTAAAGCTGCAACAAAACGTAGCAGAAATATTTCTGGGATTTGTTGCGTCTTGTTGTTTTATGGCCTTTTAAAGCTTTCTAACTGGAGCCTGGATGAAACTCTCTACTGGAGCTTTGTGAACAATATTTCTGGAGAGGTCGAAGCTGGTGTACGAACCCAAATGTCTTCACCACAACAGCTGAATAAAGTCTGAATCAAGCTGAAGAAAAGACACAGACGCAGCCCGCTAGTTTGTCAATAGGACATTTTTATTTCATACGTCTGTTGTCTTTATTCAAATTACAGTAATATACTTGCTGAGATGACCACCGGCTGCAGCCTGGACAGCTAAAACTCACAGCTGTACTACTTGAAGCAAACTTTTTTCTTTTTTTTTTTCTCCTTTTTTAAAATTATCTTGCAACAGAAAAAAGCACATATGCCATGAGATGTGTGGTGTGGTGGTGACGTCGTCAGGTAGGTAGGGTTATAATAGTGCTGGTCTAAAAAAACAAAACAAAAACAGGAAAACAAAAGAAAGAAACATTGCGCGTTGTACATGTTGTAAAAGGATCAGAATATGGCACATTTGGTCCACGTTGGTAGTTTTATTATCTCGTTTTCAAACATGTAATAAACAAAAAAAATAAAGAAAACAGATCATAGTTGTACGTGTTGTTTTTCCCCAGAAGCACAGCATTAATGACAGCATATTGAAAACAAGACTGTAGAGGGGGCCGCTCTTTAAGTTTCTCTTTTTGTTAAAATCTTGGTTCTTCAGCCAATCGTTTGTTTCTATTCTCCCTTGTACAGTAATATCATTATTAATATCTTTCCATCCAAAACGAGGGGGAGTGGGGGGTGGGCAGGGGGGAGAAAGGGGGTGGAGCTTCGTGGATGATCGACAGGGATGGCTTTGGACATTCACAGGAAGTAGTCGGGAGTGCGTCTGGTCACATGGGGCTCGCCGCGGCGGGGGGCGGGGTCAAACTGAAGGCTGCGGAGGAAGAAAGGGTTCGTTACTGACGAGTTACAGAGAGCGGAACAGTTCAAATGTTTGTGCAGCAGGTCGGATAAAGCTTTATAAATAAAGGTTCCCTGTATTCACCAACATGTGACCTGACAAAGAGCTGCGGGATAACGTCGATCCTTTCACTCACACTCTTCTGGAGCTCAGAGGAGAAATACGAGCTCTGAATGAGGCAGCGTTTACTCACCAACTACTTTAATCTGCTCACCGTGCTCTCCCTCTCTCTCTCTGTCTCTCTCTCTCTACAGACACACTGCGGTGGCACAATGTGTCCAAACTTTATCAAAAAAGTGCAATATGCAAATCGCAAGACCTGAATTTGTTTGATAAACAGGTACATTTCCTTATAAGCTGCCCAAAAAAATACAACTCGCACTTTTGATTTTTCACCGAAGAGTCACAGAAGCAGGAGAGCTTCAGTGTGGAAACGATCCAAAGTGAAACTAAGGTGCTTCTGTATTACATTACATTTTATTGGTTGGGTAGATAATTCAAAATGTTTGTCAGGATATGAGTCATCTCCCTCTCCTCGTTCTCCAAAGGACATGAACTGAAAGGTACTGTTATCCTACAGTGTTCACACAGGACAAGAATTACAGTTTTCACGTGAACAGTCAACTCAAAGTCACATTCGAGCGAACAACGTGCTCGGATCTTCGGGGCTTTTTCAGTGTCGTGAGGGGGAGGAGCCGAGAGACAGCAGAGGATCAGTCTGACATCAGGGCTGAGGCAACACGGTCAAATAACAGAATCTATTCTTTAAGACTGGGAATAATTCATAATGTTGTTGTCGTTGTTGCTGCTGTACGGCAGCCAACGATCACCTGCGTCCCTCAGACTGGAAATAAGTGACTGGTGCAGGCGGTGAGAACACATTTTACTGAACGCTCTGCCTGAATGTGACAGAAACACGAAGGTGTGTGTACTTACAAAGAGTATTTCAGAGTGTCATCCAGTTCCATGATGGCTGCCTGGTTTCCACAGCGGTAGCAGTAGTTTGGAGCACTAAAGATGGTCACCACATTCTTATCATGGCCCCAGTTGTAGCCCTGAAGGTACAAGAACACGTTCGTTAGGCTGAGAAAGGTCACATGTATTCATCTGCAGACGGACAATCTGACCCGATCTGATTTTTAAATTAAACTCAAAGAAATTCAGCAACAACTTGTTGACTTTTCTTCATGTAAAAGATTCTTGTTCTCTCGTCCGATCACATGTTTACTGAATGACATCAACTTTAAATCCTCAGGTTGTTGCAGCTGCTGAATCTCATCTGAACACAAAGAGTGAGTGTCTGTGTGTGTGTGTGTGTGTGTGTCAGAGTGTGTGTGTCAGAGTGTGTGTGCAGAGTGGTCGTGCGTTCAAGTGTTGTCGTGTCAAGTTGGTGCGTGTCCAGAGTGTGTGTTGTGTTGTGTGTCGAGAGAGTGTGTGTAGAGTGTGTGCGTGTCAGAGTCTGTGTGTGGTTGTTGTGTCAGAAGAGTGGTGTGTGTCAGAGTGTTGAGTGAGTGTGTGTCCAATGTGTGGTGTGTCATTCCAGTGGAGAGACTCAAGTGGGAGTGAACTGTTCGAAACAGGAGAAAGGTTCAAGAAGCGACAGAAATATTACTTGCCATGGATACAGCGAGGATGTTTAGGATCTTCAGTTCCCACTTGTGTTTTGGAAAACTGAGCAATGATAAACCACACTCAGAGTAAATGCGCAGTCACTCACATGGACCCATCTTACGGACCGAGATCAACAGAATCACATATGTTGCACGTTTTCTGACGTTAGAAACCAGATGTTAAAACAGATTAGTGATTCCCATCGAGAGCGCAGACAGCTACAAAATCGAAAATCAGACATAGAAATATAAAAATTTATATGAATTTCAATATCCGTTTAAAACACACACTAGAATATAATAGGAAGCAAAAGGCGACAATTTTCAGACAAATCAGAAGAGTATTTCTTCACCGCTTGGGTGATTTATAAGCATCCGGCGCAATCACATAGCCTTTCTCCACTTTTAGCTCGCTTTTCAGTCCGTAAGTGACAACTAAAATGAAATAACTTTAAATGGGTGTAGCTGTGTGTGTGTGTGTGTTGTGTGTTGTGAGTGTCTGTGTGTGTTGTGTTCTGTGGCATGTGTGTGTGTGTTTAGCCTCCATAACCAAGCTGACATGGCGCCGGGACACCAGACGTGAGCCGTTGGCGTGGTTGAGAGGGATTTCAGAGAGTATCCGTCCGAAGGTGGTCGCCGGCACCTCGGGAGAGATACCCCACCCACCACGATCATACAGGGCCGCACCACAGCAGGTCACACATCGGGCCTGGGGGGGGCGGCGGGAAGATTATGATCCCTTTCGCGATGTGATTCAGTCTAACTGTGGCGATCAATCTGAAAAGTAATAAAGCAGTAATTCCTCTGGTTGTTTAAATAAGAAGAAAAAAAAAATAACAGTTGTTTTATATTTGTGAGTTGTTTTTACCGTTTAGCAGGAAACCATGGGCTTCGAGTACTGGAGAGAATCACACCAACTGGATGACCTGTGTGGTGTTGGTGTGTGTGTTGTGTGTACTCATGCGGGACTTCTTGCAGGCGGTCGCAGAGCTCGTTATGTGGATCCGATGTCTATGGAGGGAAGAACAGACCTCCGTGGGACGAGAGACTCTGAAAGAAAAACAAAAGAAATGATTTATTTTGAACACTACCTGGAAGTAAACATAAACATGAAAATAATACTAAACAAAATTCTTCCTATAACACACACTATCTAAGATCTACAACTGGTAAGGAACGTCTTTGCCCTCTGAGCAGTTGGACAAAGAGAATAAAGACCGGAGGTGGACAGACGAGGCTGCGCTGCCCCGCACCGTCCCACCTCTGTCGTGCAACCAGCCGCGGTGAGTGGCAGGCTAGGTCGAACAGGTCTGTCGTGAGAGTACGTCCACCACGTTGATTGCCGTAGTCTTCCTCAGGCACTCGTCGTAAACCGTAAGA